TGATTCCATAAGGTTTTTACCTAGGAGGGACAGTTTTCTAAAAGAATCGTAGTTTTCATCAAGTTTACCCTAATTCCTTAAGGTTTTTACCTAGGAGGAGCAATTTTCTAAAAGAATCGCAGTTTACATCGATTTTATCCTGATTTCGTAAGGTTTCTGATACGTAGGAGGGGTTACTTTGCTAAAAGTAATTGGTTCTCACATGATAAGTTGCTTCCATCATTGTCTTGTACGTGTGTGCTTTTCTTTACGACAAATGTACCTTGATTCCTCCATAGGGTTTCTAATACCTAAGAAGGATCAATTTACTAAAAGTAATTAGTTTTCTCATGATAAGTTGCTTTCATCACCGTTTCTTATTTGTTTTCTTTCTTTTACGATAAATGTACCATAATTCCAAAGGTTCTTGATATTTAGGAAGGGTCACTTTGCCAAGAATAAAATGACCTAAACATGATGAAACGATGTTGCATGGGAACTCCTTTTCATCTCAATCCTCCTTCCTTATCTCACCCCTCTTCCAAGCCTACCCTTCGCAAAAATCTTTGTGTGCTTTTTTTTTGTCTTTGTTGTTTCGTAGTTTCCTACCTCACAACAAAAAGGGGTAACTATCAGCACCCAATTTTTGTTCGGTCTGCCACCTAAACCTCCAATTTACCCCAAATTTCTAACCAGACACTCTTGATCTCTCTAAAATACCTAAAACCCAAAAATCCCCAGCTTTCAGCCTAGAAACCCCCAAATCCACCGTTAAACCTCTCTTATACCAACCCGATCGACCCCCACTTACGCCCCAACCATTAGATCAGACACAACCATTAGACTTAGAACCTCCAAATACCCACCTGTGAAATATCAGCCCAAAATACCTCTGTTTACCCTTCAATCGCACCGAGATTCCATTTCAAGGCCCTAGATTGATTAGATTTCAAATCTGCCCGATTTGGGCCCAATTAACCTAATCTTACCCTTCCAATCAACCCAGAATTCCCAAAAACCCCATCTTGTAAAATTTCATCCAAAAATACCGTCATTTACGCTTCCATAAAAAAAGATTCCATTTTGGTCAATCTTACTAGCCCATACACACAAACCCACTTCCTTTGGTCAAACCCATCTCAATCCTCCATTTTTTACCCAAAATCTCAGCCATCCATCTAGAACCCCGGTTTGACCACCCTTTGACCCGTTTTGACCAAACTTTTCTCAATTTACAAAAATACCCCTACCTCCCATATAAATTTAACCAAAACTGTGATTCGCCCTAATCTGAAAATTTTTGAAGGACAAACTATTCACTCTCTTCCTAGGGGTGATCATTTCAGCCTGGTCTAGCCCGACCCATACAAGCCCGGCCTAGGCCCGAGCCCACACCATGCCCACAAATTTTAGGGTCGGGCTTAAGCTTAATACTTCAAGCCCAACCCGACCCGCATATATTTAAGATTACACATTTTATGTATAATGTTATTTTACATTATATTATATATTTTGTATATAAATTTTATAACATGACATGTGAGGAAAAATTCTGGCCAGAACTTTAATTTAGTACCCAAGATGTGACAATGTAGTACTGAACTTTAATTTTGCAATATATTACTTGGCGTTAATTCATCGCTAAGTGTTATGGAAAAAGACACAAATGGTTCAAATCCCGAGAAAGAAAACAGTGTGGTTCCAGTCTATGAACACTGTTCACCGCCACTGTTCCCGCATTGTTCATCTTCTTCACAAAGAAGCAGAGCGGCGGCAAAGAAGCAGAGAGAGTCAACTCGATGCAGAACGGGTTCAAATCTGCCGCCGCTCTACTTCTCTATGAAGAAGATGAACACCGTCACCAAGTTGAACTGTTCACCAGATTGAACTGTTCATCTTCTTCACAGAGAAGCAGAGCGGCGGCAAATCTGATCACCGTCACCAAGTTGGAGCGGAAGTTGGACCATCGAATCAACTCTCTTGAGCTTGGAGCGTTTGGAGTCGTTGGTGCTGAACCCTGTTCCCGCATTGTTCATCACCACTATTCGTAGACCTTGGCTTTCCACTCTCCAACGGTCTCCGTTCTCTCTTGCCTTCTCCAGTTTGTTCTCCCTATCAGCTAGCCTTGGTAACGTCCAAGGCGCTAAACACTCATTTACGAACAGAGCCCATACCCAATAGGAGGAAAGAAGTTGTCTCTGTTTCGGTGGTCGCCAATCCTTGGGAGGAATTGTAGGTGCAAAGGAACTCGGAGGTGGAGGGTAAGAGCGTTTGGACTCCTGCTTCATGCCTGGTGTTTGGAAACGCTCAGGGAGTTGGGAAATGCCGCTACGGGTTTCGTCAGAGTAGTAGAGGAGAACCTCTACTGGAGGGACCTCGAGGCCGTGAAGCTACTGATCTGGGCAGGAGCACCGCATGAGATACTCAAGGCTCTAACAGTGGAAGTTCTTGGGAAACCCTTCGTTGTTAGCTTCGTGGTAGAAGGTCTGGAGTCGCTGGTCTTGAGACATTCTTTAGGGCTCCGTTGGATTGAAATGGAAGAAGAATTTAAAGGTTCAGGGCAGCTAAAGGCGGGCGGTGACGGTTCTGATCTTGGGGCTCAAGAGGGGAGAGAAAGACCTCAGGTGGCTGAAAGAGTAAGGGGAAGATCCCATCGGCGTTGGAGGAGGAGACGTCATCGATTTGGTTCGGGTGTTTCCAGGTGCTCTTCCCTAGCCGAGAATGAAGATGGGTCATTGCTGTTGTTGGAATTGAGGGAGGTGTCAGGTGCGTATAAACTATGAACAGTGTGTTTTGTAAGGGTATTTTTGACATTTTAAATTTTTTTAAATCTGACGTGAGGTCACGTGATATGCATAAATGACAGTGGGTAGTAAATTGTCGCAAAATTTTTAAAATTTGGATATTAAAGTGGCGCTTGACCTAAAATACAAGGTACATTCGGGAATTTTTCCTTTATATTATATGTAATATTTTATATTATATAATGTATAAAATAAGTTTATACACATGTTATGTCATTTAATATATAGATATGTAATATTTTATATGCGAGTGACATTGGCCCGGAATCAGGCTCGACCCGGCCCGGGCTCGTATAAACCTGGGCTAGGGATTATGCTTCAGGCTTGGAACCCAGGGCCGAGCCAGGCCCAGGCCTAAGCTATAGCCCTTATCATAAGGCAAGCTTCTTTTGGCGACTGGCGACAAAAGTTTAGTGCTTTTCTCCCTGTGGTGGTTCATCTGCAACTGAAACCCCAAAAGGCAAAAGGCATCAACAGCTTCATCTGCAACTTTGTGCTTCTACAACTTCATCTACAACAGCTATCATCTGTAGTGGGCATCAACGGCTACATTTTACTTTGGTATATCTTAGAACAAAACAATAATAAAATCATTTTTGGGTTAATTTTTTTCTCTTATGTAAAATCATTTCTGGGTTTTTTTTTTCTCTTATAAAATCATTTTTGGGTTAATTTGTTTCTGGGTTATTTTTTTCTCTTATGTAAAATTATTTCTGGGTTAATTTTTTTTCTTCTCTTATGTAAAATCATTTGTGGGTTTGTTGAATTCCCCACTCTCAAATTCCAAAAAAAAAGAATGTCCATTGAAGTTATAAGATTCCTATAAAGAGATAAGAGTTAAGAAGAAAAGAACAAGCCCTAAACATCATATTAATTTCAAACCACCTATTGTTATATGATATGATCCATCTATATTTATCTCTAACGTCACCTGTACAATTTATGGTATTCAATGGTGGGGTGATTCAGACAACCTGCTGCTCAATGGTGGATTTGAAGTGGGACCAGCTTTCCCCAATGATTCCACTGAGGGGATTCTACTTGATGCAGAACCAAGTCTCACTCTATCAGCATTACAACAATGGTTTGTGATAGGGACAGTGAAATACATAGACTCCAAAAACTACCAAGTTCCACAAGGCAAAGCTGCAGTTGAGCTTGTTTTGGAAGCTTCAGCTGGGATACAAACAACAACAGAGCTCAATAAGGGTACGACCTATAACTTGGAATTTGTACTTGGAGATGCTTGTGTGGGAGATTTCATTGTGAGGGCACAAGCAGGATCTACGTCAATGAACTTCACGATGCAGACCAATGGAACCGGCTTGGCCCAAAGCTTCCTCATGACTTTCAAGGCAGATTCAGCTCTAACARACATYAGCTTCGTTAGCCTAACCACGAGTCAGACAAGAGATTTTGTGTTTTGTGATCCTGTGATYGACAACGTGGTACTCCGTGCTTCATTTGGGCTCAAACCACAAATGCAGAGTTGGGTGCTATTTCTATGCTTGGTTTTCCTTGTAGATGTTGTATAGATTATTGAGAAGTAGAGCCAAATCTGGATCTGTTTTACCACTTATTATTATATATATTACTGTTATTTTTTTTTACAAGTTGTTCCTTGTAAGTTGTAACTGAATAATTTGATTTTGAGAACTTGGGTAAAGAATAGCTGGCCTGATTCCTTCGCCTGTAGAGATTGATTGGATCTCATAGGTCCAAAAACTTTTTATAAATTGCACTCCTTCAAAGGTTCTGATGGATTGATTGAAAGAGCATGATTGGTTTAGCAGTTGGCTAATGGACTTTATTCAATAGTTCTGGGTTTTGGACAAAACAAGTCTTGATAATGCGTTAATGTGGATCAACGAGGTCCCCACTGAAGGAGTGGAAGCGCAGGGTATTAGATATGAATGAGTAGTTCTATACATTGAGACCTTGTTAGGGTACCAGTAAGGAAAATCGTAATGTTCTTCAGTTTCAAACAAATCTAAAATCTGAACTAATTTCATCGCACGGTTCTGTTACCAGTCATCAGAGGATCCATCTTCGATAGTGAATCTATGGGGTATAGGAATAAAAATCATTTCATTTCATGTAGCGCCTTAACTCTAAACAACGTGTGCTGAAAGCCTGAAACAGGGTGATTATCTTCCGTTTCAGAATTTTAGGGACCATGAAATTTATTAGAGAAAAAATGAGGGGAAAAAAGAACGATGATTCAATTATCTGATCTCTCATTAAGTCATGATTCATGAGTTCACTACCCTATTTATTACTCATTAGTTAGATAATATTCAGACAAGTTCTGGAATTTTAGTCCATCATAGTGCATTCTTGTTATATGAACTCATATCCTCTCTGCACTTGCTCACCCCATCCATCAACTTGCTTTCGCTTCGCTTTATCGTGTAGCTCATTGATATCTGCACACACGACCAGATCAGACTATCTCAGAGATAGATTTTCAGTATGTTGCTGCCTGGACATCCACCTCTTAGAATTTATGATCTTATTGCATCTGTCAGTTACTTTCATGATCAGGGGTATAAAAATTTGCATCAATATCGAAACGATCAAGTAACAATGAATATGATGGCATTGGAGCTCGTCCTCTGTCATTATACTATTATAGCACCCAAAATTCAGATCGCTGTTCACAATACTTGATTGGCTTTAACTTTCCCAAAGGAAGTTGGTAACATGCTTGGCATATGGCTGTCAACCAAAGCCAAAGTTCCTATTTGGCACTCTGTAACACATTGCCTGATAGATGGCAAATTAAGCAATAAGCATTTAGCAATAATAAAACCACAAACAAATTAAGCAATTCAACAAACCCAGAAATGATTTTACATAAGAGAAGAAAAAATAATTAACCCATAAATGACTTTACATAAGAGAAAAAAAAAAACTCAGAAACAAATTAAAACCCATAAATGATTTTATAAGAGAAAAAAATAACCCATAGACAAATTAATCCAGAAATGATTTTAAATAAGAGAAGAAAAAAAATAACCCAGAAATAATTTTATGTAAGAGAAAAAAATTAACCCAGAAATGATTTTATTATTGTTCTGTTCTAAAATATACCAAAGTAAAATGTAACCGTTGCAGATGAAGTCGTTGATGCCTTTTACCTTTTGGGGTTTCAATTGCAGATGAACCATTGCAGGGAGAAAAGCACTAAACCTGTCACAGATCATCGGAAGAAGTTTGCCTTTGCCAGTGATGCCTTTACCTTTTGGGGTGTCGGCTGTAGATGAACGACCGTAAGGAGCAAAACATTAAACCTCTATCACCGGTCGCCGATTGGAGAGAATAGCATAACGAAAAGTTTGGGTGAAAAATGGAGATACACGAAAAAAAAAGAGAAGAAAAGGTTTTTTACAAAAATACTTTGAATGAGGGATACCTAAAGGCGTTCATGTTAAACGCCCGTTTATCATTCCCGCATGAATGAGGAATGCACACGCGTTTATGGACGCGTGTCATTCTCTCGTAATGTTCGAACATCACGCTTTGACCGAAGCCGAACTCAAACAAAGCGGCGGCAAGAAAGATAAGCAACAAATCTGCCCTTCCCTCCTCACATCACTCGATCTCCTCTCTCAAAGCGGCGGCAAGAAAGATAAGCAACAAATCTGCCCTTCCCTCCTCACATCACTCGATCTCCTCTCTCTCCTTTCTTCTTCTTCTCTTCTTCTTCTTCTTCTTCTTCTTCTTCTTCTTCACTTCCCCCGTTCGCTCTCTGTGTTTCTGTCACCGCTGCTGCAACTCACAGCAGCGGCGATCTACTTTCTCTCGTCCGTTTTACCTCATTAACCCCTCCGTTTTCATTGTTCCTCTGTTATTGTTACTTATACCAGGCGATTTCGGTCTAGCACATCATCGATCCCCTGTTTCCACCTTCGTGTATGGCTGGGATGAGCAGACGATAGCAACGGCCCAAACTTCTATTCCTCGTTTGAACGCATTAGCATTTGAGTCGATATCTCCACCGTCGAACCTCTTGGTCACAAGCCGATCCGGCATTTCAATTCGAAGAAAGCAACCTACAACGAAGGTAACTCGAAATCCCATTGCGGCACCCAATCCTAGGACAAATCCGACACTGTAGTCACTCCACACTGCTGTAGTGGTTAGGTTTACTAGTTTAATATTTGGATCACTATTGAATAATAGCAAAAATTGGGTAGCCGAAGCTAGCGGTGAAGATCCTACCGAACTGGTTCTGTGAAGTCTAAAACCAGTTTAGATCTGCCATGACATTATCATTCCATGCTGTAGAGATCATCTATCGTTTTTTTTTTTGTTTTGCAAGAGATGTCCACTTTGATTGTTTCTACTCTTTCTCATTATGCCTTTATTTTCATAGAGATGAGATTTAAACTTGAATGGTGACATTAATGAATTTCAAATTTCAGTGTTGTTTATTTTGCATTACCATTTCATTATTTGTTGTTTGTTGAACTTGTCGAGTGATTCGAAATTAGACTGTGTGAAGCTTGATCTCAATTGTAGTTTCGTTCAGACATGAAAAGGTTGTTCACTGTTGCTCAAACTGAAGAGCTGTCAGAGATGATTTCCTAGGGACTGTGGCAGAAGAATATCAAATTTCTAGGGCTACATGACATGATTTAAATCAGGGAAGAATTGATACATAGCAGCATTAAAGGTGAATGACTGAAGAGAATTGTTAACCAATAAAAGATAATAAATAAAATAAAAGATAAAAATAATAATAAGAAATAAAAAAAAAGGAGAAAAATAAATGAAGCAATTAAGAAACTTGATAGTAGATGTGAAGTGGGTAGATTAATTTTTCTACATTCATGCATACTTAGTTAACAAGGGGGGAGGATAAATCCCTGAAAAGTGAAACAACAATAAAATCTGAAATAAAAAAAAAGAGATATTTGTAAGTTGGGTTGATTCTCTAGTTTAATTACTTGCTTGCATATTTCGTGTTTGTGCTTATTTGGAATACCATGTGGGCCCCACCTATTGGACCTGGGAGAGGGGTGCCTAACCCCTTCCCTCTCCCATCCGAGTCTTACCCGGACTGGTTAGTCGGTGCTTCGGGCTTCAGAGTTACTAATAAATCTAAAGCGCTTTCCGATAGAAATCCCAAAGGTCCCATCACCGCCTTTTCATTCACTTAATGGGTAGCGATTCTATTTCCAGCCTAAGTGGCAAGTGAGTTGTTTTTTCGACGCTCATAGGCGATGATCTTCTTCTTCCTCCACCCCTTCACCTCTGTTTATGGAACAACCAAAATCACTGCCGCCACTACAACTTCCAACAATGACAGTGATCTTCTTCCTCCGTCCTCTTCGTTGAAAGTGTTGATAGAGGGGGGGGGGAGGGAGCCTACATTGTTGCTGGTGATCTTCAAGCTCTTTGGTTTCTCGGAAGAAGGTGAAGTGGCGATGAAGATAATGATTGCTAGTGTTAGAATCCATGTAGGTGAGTGGGGTACTGGGGTACTTTGGAGAGGGTGATGGCTTTGAAGTGATGTTTGATCGGTGAGGTAGAAGGGAAACCTCCATAGGTTGTAGAGAAGAGATTTGAGAGAGAAGAGAGAGCAATGATGCTAGCCGCCCTCTTCACTATTATTTATAGTCTGAAATAATAGAGTACAAAGACAAATATGCCCTTATAGGGCAGCTAACACATAAAACAACATAAAACAATTACAATAATTGCTAAAAAAGCACCCAACAAGAGTGTTGTGGTCCCCACTTTCTATCTAAATAATAAATAATAAAAAAACTACCACTATAGACTACACGATTTGTCTAAAACCTCAACAATTGTTATTACTTTTAATTTAATTTTTTAATTTATTATTATTTTTATTGTTGTTCCTTTTTTATGGCTTATTCCCCTCCCTTTAGATATTGCCTATTTGTGAATAACAGTGATTATCTGAACACACTTAAAAGAAACAAAATCTCGACAGGCCATGAATTGTTTTACAAACATTAGATAGCATCAAATAATGGATGAATGAAATCTCCCTTTTGTGAATGATCATTTCGATTTGTTACAGAACATAAATACATGACTGTTAATCAAGTTAGAATTCCTGACTCACACCCAAACAACAATGTTTCTTTGCCAAACAACAACAATAATGGATTTCTTGATTAACATTGAACAACAGAACTTGAACTCATTGCAACTGATATCTTTATGATGTTAACTGATCGAAAAGAGGGAGGGAGGGAGGATGTTTCTTTTGGTGTGATGCGACAATCGTCGTACTAGAGTATATCCAATGTAATAAGGAACAACGGGCGGATGTTTCTTTTGGTGTGAGCCTTCGCGTCAATTCTCTATGATCAATTACGAACAAAGGAGTTGTCGGAGTTACAGGGGCCACAGAGAGGAATGATGATTCGAATGACGATTAGTGATAGGGAGTTGATGTGAATAGAGGGAGAATGGTAGTAGTAGGCGATAGGAGTGATCGAGCTACAGGAGAGAAGAAAAACAATTCTATCGCCGCCGCTGATCTGGGTTGGAGTAGCAGGCGGAGAAGAGGGAGGTGTCGAAGTTGAATGGGGCTGAAGGGCCATTGTATTATTGCAGGGATGGAGAAAATAAAAAGGGAAAATTTATTAGAGTATACCTAACAAAACATCCTACTCTTTCTTAGCTCTATTATGACGCTTTACACGTAATACCACGTGTTTGATTTAATTTTAAATTATACCCAAAATATCCATTCTAGCAAAGATCACCATATTCTCTATTCAAATCATTGACGGCGACTAACTTTCCATCATCCTCCTTTCGACCTCTCTCTATTTTACGGTGCATTAATGACCACCACTGATTCATTTTTCTTCTCCTACTAATTCAGGATTCTAAGGCCTCAAAGTCAAAAGACAAAATGAGCATAAATGTACCTCCGACTATCGAATTTCAAGTCTGGCTTGCCCTACCCAGCAGCTCTGAGCCCATTTCTACAAGTCTACAACCTGTGGAGGTTTCCCTTCTTCCTCCGCTGTATTCATTGAAAGTGTTGATGGGGGGGAGGGGGAGGGAGAGGGAGAGGGAGAGGGAGCCTACATTGTTGCTAGTGATCTTCAAGCTCTTTGGTTTCTCGAAAGAAGGTGAAGTGCCAATGAAGATAATGATTGCTAGTGTTAGAATCCATGTAAGGGAGTGGGGTACTGGGGTACTTTGGGGAGGGTGATGGCTTTGAAGTGATGTTTGGTCAGTGAGGTAAAAGGGAAACTTCCACAGGTTGTAGACTTGTAAAAATGGGCTCAGAACTGCTGGGTAGGGCAAGTCAAACTTGAAATTCGTTAGTGGAGGTACATTTCTACTCATTTTGTCTTTCGACTTTGAGGCCTTAGAATCTTAAATTAGTAGGAGAAGAAAAGTGAACCAGTGGTGGCCGTTAATGCACCGTAAAATAGAGAGGTCGAAAGGAGGATGATGGAAAGTTAGTCATCGCCGTTGATTTGAATGGAGAAGACGGTGATCTTTGCTAGAATGGATATTTTGGATATAATTTAAAATTAAATCAAACACGTGTTATCTCGTATAAACCGTCATAAGGGAGCTAAGAAAGAGTAGGATGTTTTGTTAGGTGTACTCTAATAAATTTGCCATTTTTATTTTCTCCATCTCTGCAATAATGCAGTTGCCCTTCAGCCCCATTCAACTTTGACACCTCCCTCTTCTCCGCCTGCTGCTCCAACCCAGATCAGTGGCGGCGATAGAATTGTTTTTCTTCTCCCCTATAGCTCGACCACTCATATCGCCTGCTACTACCATTCTCCCTCTGTTCACATCAACTCCCTATCACTAATCGTCATCCGAATCATCGTTCCCGTCTGTGATCCCTGTAACTCCAATAACTCCTCCTTTGTTCGTCATTGATCATAGAGAGTTTTCAAGAACAAATTCACTTCCATCTACTGCAGCATTGAATCATTACTATTGAGAATTTCAGCGAAGGCTCACACCAAAAGAAACATCCATCCGTTGTTCTTTATTACATTGGGTATACTCTATTGCGATGATTGCCACATCTCTGGTAAGCCTCTCTCTCTCTCTCTCTTTTCGGTCAGTTAACATCATAAAGATATCAGTTGCAATGAGTTCAAGTTCTGTCGTTCAATGTTAACCAAGCAATCCATTATTGTTGCTGTTTAGTGAAGAAACATTGTTGTTTGGGTGTGAGTTAGGAATTCTAACTTGATTAACAGTCATGTATTTATGTTCTGTAACAAATCGGGATGATCATTCACAGAAGAGAGATTTCATCCATCCATTATTTGATGCTATCTAATGTTTATAAAACAATTCATGGCTTGTCGAGATTTTGTTTCCTTTAAGTGTGTTCGGGTAATCAATGTGTATTCACAAATAGGCAATATCTAAAGGGAGGGGAATAAGCCATAAAAAAGGAACAACAATAAAAGTAATAAAAAAGTAAAAAATTAAATTAAAAGCAATAACAATTGTTGAGGTTTTAGACAAATCGTGTAGTCTATAGTAGTAGTTTTTTTATTATTTATTTAGATAGGAAGTGGGGACCACAACCCTCTTGTTGGGTCCTTTTTTAGCAATTATTTTAATTGTTTTATGTGTTAGCCGCCCTATAAGGGCATATTTGTCTTTGTACTCTTTATTATTTCAGACTATAAATAATAGTGAAGAGGGCGGCCAACATCATTGCTCTCTTTTTTCTCTCAAATCTCTTTTCTTCCTTCTCTTCTTCTTCAAGAAATATTCTTTTCTTTTATAGATTTTTATTTCAGCACCTTTCTACTTGGTATTAGAGCAAGGTTAAGGTTTCTTGAAGTTTTTTCATACAGTTATAGATCAGCTGATTGCATGAGGAGATAAAGGGTTGGTCGATCTACTCCAGATTGCCTAGTTCTTGGATTTTTTGGTGTAATCTAGTCATCAGGAGGGTGATCTATGTTTTGGCATCAAAATCAGGAAGAACTGGAGTGCGGGGAAGAGTCTTAGTCAAGTTGGACTCTTCAATTGTGATATAATCTTGGGCACTCAGGTATTGTTGGACTTCTCTAGGTATTCTGTAGGGGGCGATTAGGTCTTTGGAATTTTCTGGGCCTTCTAGAGTGGTTGATTCACTTTTCTCTCCAGTGAGAGGAGAGAGATTTCTCTCTAGATAGGGTTTTCTTCTTTCGGAAAGGTTTGTTACCTTTGCGTGTGAGATCGATTTGATCTCGGAGTCTCTCCACCCAGTTTTTTTTTTTTTTTGCTTTTGAACTATTTAAAGTAAAAATGGAGAGTTGGAGTATCGGGCAGAAGTCCACCAATAACATGGGTCTGGGTGTTGGAGGTAGTAGTGATATTTTTGGTTGTGGAATTATTACTATATTGAAGTTTGATGGTACAAATTATCTAGAATGGGCACAATTGGCCAAGATGGTCATTGGTGCTCGTGGGAAACTGGGGTACATCATTGAGTTTGAGAAGAAACCTGATACAAATCCCTCCTTGTGGGTACAAGAAAATTACATGGTGATAACCTGGATGTGTAGCTCTATGTTACCTTACATTGGTAAAAATTTTTTGTGGGCTACTGCAAAGGAGATTTGGGATGGAGTGACTAAAACCTATTCCTGAAAACAAAATGTAGCTAGAGCCTATCAGTTAAGGAATCGGGTGATTAGTACAAAACAGGGAGATATACCTCTTGCCACTTATTTCTCCATGTTGAAAACCCTTTGGCAGGAGATCGACCACTTTGAAACTGTGGTTTGGAAGAGAATGAAGGATGCAACAACCTATCAGGGGTTGGTAGAAAAGAATAGGGTTTTTGAGTTCTTGGTTGGGTTGAACCCTGAATTTGACATTGTCAGGCAACGTCTCCTTTCTAAAGAAGGTGTGACTCTTTCTTAAGCTTATGCCTTTGTCTCTAGGATTGATCAATCAGCTATGGTTAGTACAATTAAATCTAAGCCAAATGGAGACAGGGGGAGACGAGGATAGTGAGGCTAGGAAGGAGGACAAGAGGGATTTGGTGTGTGACTATTGCAAGAAGACTAAGCAGACCGGAAACACCTGTTGGAAGCTTTGCCCTCATCTCGTACCAGTTCAAATCAAGAACAAGAAGGAAAATGCAAATATGGCAACTATAGGATACCCTTTAGGACCCCTCTCCTAGGCTGATTTGGAGTCCATTGCAACAACAACTGTGAGGATTGAATTGGAAAAGTATGGACAACTTATGAGTAAGAAGGATTCAACCAGTTCTAGTTCTTCAAATGGGCAGAACAATGCAGGAGCCAACCATACTACTTCCTTTGCTCATACTGGTAGTTCATATACAACTACAAATCATGCATCCACCTCAGGTAAGGTGGGACCTCCCTAGATTATGGACTCAGGAGCATCTGAGCACATGACCAATATATCTACCCTCTTTAGTTCTTACCAGTTGTGCTCTGGTAGAGATATAGTCTCTACAGCAGATGGTTCGCATATTCCCATTGCTGGGAAATGGACAATTAGAGTGACTAATGACATTACTTTATCATTTGTCTTATATGTCCCTAAACTCCACACTAATCTTCTTTCAGTAAGCTCTTTGACAAAAAAATTGAACTGCTTAGTGACCTTTCTTCTTGGTAATTGTGTTTTGTAGGATCTAGAATCAAAGAGGACGATTGGGAGTGGTCGTGATGCGAACGAAGTCTACCTTCTGGATGAGATTCCGAGACATCAGAACCATCATGTTAGTAGCAATAGTAGTAGTGGATCAGAGCCATGAGTCAAATTATGCATTGGCATAATCGTTTGAGTTATCTTTCTTTCATTTCATTGAACTTTTGTTTCAAAAGTTGTTTGAGTTTGTTCAGTTGTCTAGTTTGGAATGTGAAAGTTGTTAGTTGGGAAAACATTGTAGACATTCTTTTAAACCAAGTAATAAAAGAAGTTCCTTTGCTTTTGATATTGTTCATACTAATGTATGGGGTTCTTATCAATAGTCATTATATGGCTTGAAACAGTCACATGGTTTGACAGGTTCAGAGGAGCAGTTATCCGTTTTGGGTACACACAAACTCAACCCGACCATACTCTCTTTGTAAAAAGGAGAGAGACACTCTTGTTAGTATTGGTTGTATATGTAGATGGTATAGTTGTTACAGGAAATGATCTAAAAGAGATTGATGCACTCAAGAAGTCACTACAACAAGAGTTTTAGATCAAGGATTTAGGTGAATTGAAATACTTTCTAGGGATTGAAGTTGCAAGATCCAAGTATGGGATTTTCATCTCTCAAAGGAAGTATGTGTTGGACTTACTACAGGAGACTGGGAAGCTAGGAACTAAACCAACTGATACTGCTATTGACCCAAATCATAGAATTAATGCTTTGGATGATGAGTTGGTTAAGGATGTGGGAAGATATTAGAGGATGGTAGGTTGGCTACTATATTTATGTATGACCCATCCATGCATCTCCTATGTTGCTAGTGTTGTGAGTTAGTATATGCATGCTCCTTGGGTTCAACACTAGGAAGCCATTGAGAGGATACTTGCATACCTGAAGAAGCATCTTGGTAGAGGGATTATTTTCTCAGACCATGAAAATTTAAAGCTGGAGTCCTACACAGATGTAGATTGGGCAGATTGCTTAGATGATAGGAGATCTACGTCAAGGGTGCACTTTTGTGGGAGGAAACTTGGTCTCATGGAAGAGTAAAAAATAGTCAGTTGTGGCTAGATAAAGTGCCGAGGCTGAATATAGATCTATAGCTCATTGTGTTTTAGAACTACTTTGGGTGAGATCTCTATTGAGTGAGATTGGAATAAAAGCTAAGTAGTCCATGATGTTATATTGTGACAACTAAGCTGCAATCAATATTGCTCACAAACCAATTCAGCATGACAAGACTAAACACACTGAGGTTGATGGGCACTTCATAAGAGAAAGGGTGGCAACTGGAGAAGTCTGCTTGCCTTATGTCTCCTTTGAACTACAATTGGCTGATGTCTTCACCAAAGGGGTTGCAAAGAATAAGCTTGAATGCACAATCTAAGCAAGTTGGGAATGTTTGACATTTACTCCCAACTTGAAGGGGAGTGTTGAGGTTTTGGACAAATAGTGTAGTCTATAGTGGTAGTTTTTGATTATTTATTGTTTAGATAGGAACTGGGGACCATAGCACTCTTGTTGGGTCATTTTTGAGTAGTTATTTTAATTGTTTTATGTTTTTTTATGTGTTGGCCACCCTACAAGGGCATACTTGTCTTTGTACTCTTTATTATTTCAGACTATAAATAATAGTGAAGAGGGTGGCCAGCATCATTGCTCTCTTTTCTCTCTCAAATCTCTTATCTTCCTTCTCTCCTTTCTTCTCTTCTTCTTCTTCAAGAAATATTCTTTAATTCTTTTCTTTTACAGATTTTTATTTCAGCACCTTTCTACTACAATAAAAAATAATAAATAAAAATAATGATAATAAGAATATATGTGATAAAAATAGAATAAATAAATGGCTAATGCCGTTAGGGGTGAGCAAAAAAGACCGAAAAACCGAACCGACCGAAAAAACTGACTGAAATCGAATCGGAAAATTGGTTAACTGGATTGGTCGGTTCGGTTTTGGTTTGATGTTTTTAAAAAACTGAAGGTACCGGTTGGTTTTGGTTAACCAATATAAAAAACCAGTGGTTAACCGAACCGACTGGTATACATGTATTTCTATATATTATATATATTTATGTATATTATATAACATATATATTATATTTTTATATATTATATTTTTATATATTATAAATTAATAAATATGCATTATAGATATAAATATATATTATATTATTATTTATTATTAAAATATAATATTATATATTTATAATTTTTTATTATATATTTTTATAATATATATTGTTAAAACTAAAAAATCGAAAAACCGGTGAACCGAACTGGTTAACCGACTAGTTTTGGTTCAGTTCCGGTTACCGGTTTTCCAAAAACCGGTACTACCGGTTCGGTCCAAAAAAATGCCCCACGGTTCAGTTAACCGAACTGTGAACACCCCTAAATGCCGCTAATCCAATAAAATAAATAATCAATAAATATACAAATAGGGTTCCATAGGAAAACAATAATAAAATAAATAATTGATAAAATTAAATAAAAAAGAGAAAATAATAAATAATGAATAATAAAAATGAAGATATATATATATATACATATTGTATAGTAATATTAAATAAAAAATAATAAAAAGATAGGGGGACTCTCTTGTGTTGGTTTGTTCTTGTCTTGTTTTGCTTTATTTATTATTAATATGTTCTTAGTTAATTCATTTATCAAAAAAAATATGGTCTTAGTTAATTGAAGAATTGCTTGTTTGTGCTAATGCTTGTATGCTCTTAGTTAATTGAAGAATTCCATGCGGACCCCATCTATGGACTTGGGAAAGGGGTAGCTAACCCTTTCCACCTCCCATCTGTATCTTACCTAGATTGGTTTAGTCGGTACCTTGGGTTTGGAGTCACTATCAAATGAAAATATTTTCGAAAATCATTCTCAGAGGTCTCATTACCTCCATTTCCTTCAAATGATGGGTGACGACTCCAAATCAACCCAAGAGAGCTGTTTGCTAACACTCACTATATGGGGTTAGCTACATGAATCCTGTTTCACCATTCCATTTTGTTTAATGCCATTTCCTTTGTTAAATTATTGGCACTTATATATTTTAAAGAAGGGGAAAAATCATGATATGTAAACTCTTATTTCTTAATCTATGTGAATAACTCAAATTTATGAGTTTTCTTAACTGTTTTGACATAACATTTTCCTTGTACAGCATAGTTTACAAGTAAATTTAGAAAAYGAAATCGGGCAGCCTCTTAGGTAGAGTGCTTAATTGGCCTATAGGCAGGCTATAATTGCCATGATTACTTTCCAGGTTGTTGAGTAACCTCACTTGGATGAGTTTATACAAGGCATATGCTTAAGGTTCTTGGGATACAAAATAACCTGTTGATTTACTGGTAGGGATTGGGCAGAATTTGTAGATATCCAACTGAGGAAAGAAAATGAGGATTGTGGGACTGACAGGAGGAATTGCATCCGGGAAGAGTACAGTCTCCAATCTGTTCAAGGGCAAAGGCATTCCTGTGGTTGATGCTGACCTTGTTGCTCGTGTATGTATCTATCTATCTGTTTTTTTTTCTTTTCCTTTTCCCCCTCTCTTTTCAATGATCCATTTGTGTATGTGGATATGTAGATATTTCTATCATGTCTTTACTGTTTTCAACAGTTTTCTTTGATCAGTTTACTATTTTCAACAGTTYGAGAGTTTAACTCAAGATATATTTCAAGCTCTTTATGTAAAATTTAGTTCATAGCATTGATTCAATTTCACTTGACCTTGAGATATGTGTGGCTAAATTATTCTTTTCTTTCATTTCATTTCTTAATTCTACTCATAAATTTGATCTTTGATTTGAGTAGTTGAGTGTGCATGTTCATTCTCAACTTATTGACTGGAACATGTGTTCTGGGTTGCATTGCAAAGTGCTCCATCTTCTCTCCCTATGCAAAGCTAGATCCAATTCTTAGGACCTGCCCATATGTTGTGTATTTTTTGGTGTGCTTAGACATAATTATGTTCCTCTGGATCTTTGAGTGGCCAACTTATCCAACRGGACCAACACAAAATTTGGTTCCCTGCATTTGGCAAAACCAGATGATAATTCTACTTGCAAAGTAGTAAAGGTAATTACTTAAACTGGTCCTAGGCCTCTTGACCATCTTTTGTACTAGGATTGATGAACTGGATATGGACCTAACTTTTTTTTTTTTTTATTTTGTGATAATGATATGGATCTAACATTTAACATCAAGTGCCCAATCTCAGACTTGAACCTGAGTTCTCATGCTTGTTYGGCCCAAGAATTTATTATTTTGCACAAAGCAACAAACCCTTGTTGCAAAGAAAGTACTGTGCTTCTTAATTTGATATTTTATGAAACAATAGGGTTGGGAGTGGCAGAGGGGATGTTAGAATGTACAGTTCTTTCGAATGGTATCTCCCTCCCTCCTGGCATCAAAAGGATGAGCATGCTTGCTAATCAGCAAGATCATGAGCAAGTAACTGTCTGGATCTAGTGTTAGACAGTTTTGTATGCCCTTAGCTTCAATCCGATTTGATGTACTTTTGACATTTAGTGTAAATAAATAAAKTGCATGTTTGATTCATGTTGTTTGGTATAATTCTGTGTAAGACCCTAAAATTGGGCACTTGA